ACTAAGGATGGCTATACAAGAAGGCTTGACTGATGAAGAAAATGCAAAGTTGCGCCTTCAGGAGTTGGAAGCGCTGGATGAGAGAAGACTCGAAGCTCAACAACACTTGGAATGCTACTAAGCACGGTTATCCAAGGCATTCAACAAGAAAGTCCGCCCAAAGGTCTTTCCAAGCCGGAGATCTCGTGTTGGCATTACGTAGGCCTATCATTACAACTCATAAGACAAAAAGCAAGTTCACATCAAAGTGGGATGGACGCTACGTAATACAAGAGATCTACACCAATGGCGCCTACTTAATCATGGCAGAAGACGGGTTGAAGATCGGCCCCATCAACGGCAGATTTTTGAAGCGCTACTACCCCTAAAGCAAACGCACCACGCTCCTGGCCCGCAAGAGCATAAACTGTGTACGGCAAAATCATCAAAAAAAAAAAAAAATCATCACTCATTTGAACTACGTCATGACTTGATCCCTCCTCAACCAAGGGTACGTAGGCAACTTGAAACTTCAAAACTTCAAGTACAGTCACATCATCAAAATAAAAAAAATAAAAAAAGGGAAATAACACATCTTGGTGATGTATATGTTTTATCTGTATTTAGCACAATACACTAAATAAAATAAAGCATGTTCATTGATCTCCGAGAAATTACAAGTGCGTACAAAAAAAAAAAAAAAAAAAAAAAAAAAAGATGAAGCTTTCATAAAGGTTGTTCACGTGAAACCCCACTACTTGGGAAAACTACAAAAGCGGGAGGCATCAAAGAAGAGGCATCAATACTTGGTGGAACGCTAAATGAGCCAGGAAAAAGGTGTCTCTGGAAGAAAGCAGTAAGCCTTTGACGGTCACTTTGAATTCGACCACTGGATTCTTGCAGCTCATCAAGTTTCCTCTTCATGCCCGTCGAATAGTTATTTGCAAGCACATGCAAACTTCTATTCTCGTGCTTAAACTGTTTGATCTCTTGCTTAAGAGTTTCCACCTCCGCCATCAATGATTCCACTTGGCGGGATCGAGCAAGTAGGCGTTGGCCCATGTTGGACACAGAGTCTGCGCACTGAACACTGAGAGTTAGGGACTCTTGAACGGCCAACTCATCGGACCGTTCTGAAAGCAGCCTACTATCTTTTGGAGTGAGGAAGTTCCTAGCTACTATCGTAGCTGTTGTTGCGTCCTTCATCACAGAATCTTCACCTGTCAAAGTGCCATTAGAAGATAAGAAAGAAGGGCACCATACATTTACCTGACGCGGCGCACTCGGATCACTGCTGAGACTCAAATCTAAGCAAATGTTAGACGGGTTAGCCATTGTCAAAAGGTTAAAAGAGAAAGGTGGATGGAGTAAAATCAGAAAGGGCCGAAGACGATTTTCACAAACGGGCGATCTTTAAAGTGTGCATGTTGGAGGTGATCGATACCTCTATAAAAAGCCAAGGCGACACAACCACCGATTAAAAAAACCGGATTTTCCTGCGTGAAGTTCGGCGACGCTTTCGCGGCTTTTCAGATAACGCGTTCAACTTTGTCAAAAGATATCTGACAAAGTTGAAAACACATGAAGGTTATCATCCCAACTACGCGCCTTTGCCAACAAGCGTGGTGACAGAGCCGCACCCGTGACTACTTTTTCGAAGAGGCGCTCGCTCAGAAATCGAAGAGACGCTTGTTAAAAAATCGAAGAGACGTTTGTCGACAAGGGTAAAAGAACAGTACCACCACTTGCTATTGGGAAATCCCTATATATGTCGACCTTCATCTTTTATGGCAAGGCAGACCTGAAAAAAAAAATGCCCAACTCTTCCTCACCTCTGAGGGCGCACTCCCAGCAAAGCCTCTCGAAATACTCAATTTTTTTCTTCTTCCCCAAAGAAGATACCAGATGCCTGGAATACAGATGAGGCAGGAGGAAACGGTAAATCGAAGCATGTGGAGACAAGCACAACAAATATATGTGCTGATTCATTCGCTGCTTCTTCAAAAGCAAAAGTATCTCATATCATCAAGGGCGAAAACAAAGGTATCTCATATCATGCTTTTTCCCTGTCTTTTCCTTTGCCCTTGTTCTCACCTGCCAAGACAAGGACAGAGAAAGCAATATGTCGGAACCTCCACTCAAACTTGCGCTGCCACCAAGAAGTGAGGGTTCATTCAAATGCAAGGTTTGCATTCAACTCCTGCATCAGAGGACAAATACTACAAGAGAAGATGCTAAACCTGCATAAGGAAATACCACTTCTGCAAAGGGAGCAAGTAAGGCAAGTGAAAATGATACATCGAAGCATGTGGAGACAAGCACAACAAATATATGTGCTGATTCATTCGCTGCTTCTTCGAAAGCAAAGGTATCTCATATCATGCTTTTTCCCTGTCTTTTCCTTTGTCCTTGTTATTACTCGCATGGCAAAGTGAAAGAGAGCAATCAGCCGGCACTTGGAGTCAGTCTTCCGATCTGGAACTGACTACCTGGAACCTTTGCCTGGTTGCTTACCTAGCGTTGCTCGAGTAGTCATCTTCAACGGTTGATACACTGCCAGAGAAGGGACAAGGAAACTTCAATCTTTCCAATTCGTATTCAATACGAATTGGAAAGATTGAACAAAGAAACAGGTCAGCACCTCCACCTCGTACTTGCCTGCCATATCCTGAAACCGCTCGTAGACCTTCGGGGGGAGACCAAAAGAATCCTGCTGCCCAGTTCAAGAGTAGCACAAAGGAAAATCAACGAGCGGAGGAGACCAGAAGAATCCTCCAGCCTAGTTCAAGATCAAGCCTCAATGGCCCTTGAAGAAATCACAAGTCCGATTCAAAATCAAGTGTTCACCACCCTTGAATCAAATTCAACTCCAGATAAAAGGAGTAAGTTCAGACCTTCAGGGGAGACCAAAAGAATCCTCCAGCCCAGTTCAAGATCAAGCCTCAATGGCCCTTGAAGAAATCACAAGTCCGATTCAAAATCAAGTGTTCACCACCCTTGAATCAAATTCAACTCCAGATAAAAGGAGTAAGTTCAGACCTTAGGGGGAGACCAAAAGAATCCTCCAGCCCAGTTTAAGACTAAGCCTGTGGAAAATCAACGATTGGAGGAAACCAGAAAATCTTCCAGTCGAACTCAAGATCAAGCCTCAATGGCCCTTGAAGAAATTTCCAGCCCAATTCAAGATCAAGCCTCGATGGCCCTTGGGTTGACATCTACATTAAGGGACTTCAAAACGCATCTTCTACACGTGACAAGCACATGTCTACGACGCGCCTTGAAGTGGGGGCATTTGTAGACATCGAAATTTCAGTAAAACAAATGTTCACCAATGTATTAAAGTTTTGACGTGTCAAGGCATACATGACATACGCCACGTGTTGTACAAATTGTACACATGGCGTGTGACTCAACAAAATAGGAAGAAATACCCTTGAAGGACAAAACAAGTTTTTCTTCTCATGTTGGGCAATGATAAGGCAAGCACACTTCAATCCATTACGGATCAAAGCAAGTTTTTCTCATTTGGGCAATGACAAAGCATACACATTTCAAGTTTAAAATGGTGTTAAGTGGGAAATTAGGCCATAAATTAGACCACTTCAAGTTTAAAATGGTATTAAGTGGGAAATTAGGCCATAAGTTAGACCACTTCAAGTTTAAAATGGTATTAAGTGGGAAATTAGGCCATAAGTTACACCACTTCAATTTCAATATTGCATTAAGTGGGAAAATTAGGCAATGGTGCTTGGAAAGGAAAAAAAATATTTTGTGGTGGTGATTCATTCTCAAAGCCTATAAATAGGCTTCTCCATCAAGGTATCAAGCATCAAGGAATTCACAAATACATTTCTCTACTCCAAAATTAGAAGAGAATTCCCCAAATCCTTGAAGCTTTGAAACTCCAAAGCTTCCAACCATACAAATTCCCAAGAATTCCGAAGAATCAAGAAAACTCTCTTCGTTCTTCGTTAAATCCTCTTTCAAGATCAAGCCCCGACGGCCCTTGAAGAAAGTGTTCATCGTTCATCCTAAGATCAAGCCCCAACGGCCCCTTGGATCAACAACACAAACAAATCCACACATCCAATCGTTCTTCAAGACTAAGCCCAAAAGCCCTTGAAGATCTGCTCATCCATCAACCTTCAAGATCAAGCCCAAAAGCCCTTGAAGAGATCCATACACCCATTCTTCAAGATCAAGCCCAACGCCCCTTGAAGATCCATTCATCAACTGTTTATCCTAAGATCAAGCCCCAACGGCCATTTGGATCAACAACCTCAACAAACCCATACACCCGTTCTTCAAGATTAAGCCCAAAAGCCCTTGAAGATCCACTCATCCATCAACCTTCAAGATCAAGCCCCAAAAGCCCCTTGAAGAAATCCACACAACCATTATTCAAGATCAAGCCCCGACGGCCCTTGAAGAAAGTGTTCATCCGTTCATCAACTGTTCATCCTTAGATCAAGCCCCAACGGCCCTTTGGATCAACAACTCATCCACAAACCTACACCCTACGAAGATAGAATCAGAGGACCAAATTTGAGAGAGATCGTAACCCCAAAATCATAAACACAAAAATATTATTTTGTACACGTTATTCTTGTTTCTTGTTTCAAGGAATCTTTCGTGTTCACAAAAACACAATGTTGTGATACAACACACATCTCATAATTACATCTCTCTCATCTCTTTGTTGCCCTAGGCCTTTCTCCCTCTCTGCCCTAAATACAGTTCAGTAGAATAGGCTTACAACAAAAGCTTTTATAATTTTAAAATTGCATTTTTTTCTTCTCACTTATAAGTGAAGAGGAATATTACTAAACGTAGTACTAAGTAACAAACATATGTTAATAAATAAATAAAATTAACGCGTGTGACAAAAGTCTAATTATCTTTAACTGCAGTCCCCAAAAATATAATTTTATTAACGTAAAAAAAAAAAAAAAAAAAAAAGGGTGATGCATTGCATTTTTGATATGCGGTGCTTGGGCTGCAAGTGTTTGACAGATAATTTTTGGCATCAAAGACCAACAATACGCATATGATTCGGGCCCACCTTAGGGTTTTTGGAACGCAACCCCACATATTCTACCACTTCATCAGCAACCAGATCAAATTTGCAGCAGCGGCGCCGTCTCTTCTCCGCCGCTTCCACGTTCAGACGCCTCTTCAGTCTTCTCCCCCAGCCGGTAGCGCGCCGGTATGTGAGCTCATCCACCTAACCAAAGATTTGATCTTTGTAATTTCATTCGTTTTTAGCTTTTGGGATTGGTTTAACTGTGTCGTTTCGATGCAGATGGATAACGGAAAAGGGATTGAAGACCCGGAGAAGAAGAAGAAGAAGGAAGAAAAGGTAATTTTATGGAATATTGCTTCTTTTGATGTTGTAATTCCAGGCCCAGATGGATACTTATGTGAATTACTGGATTTTCGAAAGAGAGTAATTTGGGTTTTTGATATTTGGTCAGGCAAGAGAGAAGGAATTGAAAAAGCAGAAAGCTTTAGAGAAAGCTGCTAAGCTTCAGGTAATGATGGTGAATTGCATTTTGGTGTTAAGTTTTGGATTCAATTTTCGGTTTCGTCCACACATTGTGTTGTGCTGTGTGTTGAATCATCCTATGATAATGTTAATGCCTGAGATGACTGGTAAAAGAATCAATTTGGTTTTAGGCGCAACAAGCGGCGAGTTCTTCTTCTAAAAAGAGTGAAAAGAAGCATGTAAAGCGTTCCAACCAGGAGGAGGAGAATGAAGAGGACTTTATTGATCCAGAGACTCCATTTGGCCAGAAGAAACGGATGTCGAATCTCATGGCGAAAGAGTATAGTCCAAGTGTTGTAGAGAAATCGTGAGTGTCATGGTTGCCTTTTTTCTTTTTTTTTTTTTTTTTTTTTTGTTTTTTACCACTTCTTCCAACAATTTTACTTCTTAGTTATTTATGTTATCTATGCTTGACGATTTAGGTGGTATGAATGGTGGGAGAAGACAGGGTTCTTTGTGGCAGATGCCAAGAGCTCCAAACCTCCTTTCGTCATTGTGAGTGTCATATGCATCAAACTTTTTCTTGGGTGTGCATTGATTTGGGTACCAATAAACAAAACAAAATTAACTTGTAATGTATTATAGGTTTTGCCACCTCCCAATGTGACTGGTGCCCTTCATATTGGCCATGCTCTTACTGCTGCTGTTGAGGTGATTCCTGTGTTTGTGCTGTTCTTTGGTGATTTTCTAAGTGTGTTTTCTAAAATAAAAAACTAATTTGATGTAATTTTGTTATATGCAGGACACTATAATTCGTTGGCGGAGAATGTCTGGTTACAATACCTTGTGGGTGCCTGGAATGGACCATGCTGGCATAGCAACACAGGTTGTGTTTCTTTTAACAAGTACTGAATATTTACTATAGTTTAGTTTTTGTGTATTACGATTACCAATATGAGCAAAAGTCGTTGGTGGAGATCAATCTGCTGTGTACCTTTTATTTGGCCTTCTTTTGGGTGTGGGAGAAGGACCAGTTAGTGCTCAGGTTCGTATGCATTGCCTCGAATTTAGGCACGTTTTGAAATGCCTTTCAAAACACTGGACTTGAGTCAACAACACATGATATGTCCTTTTCAATGGGTGCATTGCTAATAGCTCATGTTCCATGAATTTATTAACCTTATCATCTTGACCATATGCATGTATATGAATTTGAACCTGGATTCTGTATATGTCATATGTTATTTGTTTGCTGGCTATAACATCATGTGTCGTTTATAGGTGGTTGTAGAAAAGAAGCTAATGCGTGAAAGCCAATTAACCAGGCATGATATTGGTCGTGAGAAATTTGTGGCTGAAGTGAGTTTGAACTATTACTAGTTTGTATTTGATCCATACATATGATGTTTTAAAGTCAATTGATCTGTCCATACTTTTTAATAATGTTGGTTGGTTACCTTTGATTGTGAAAGGTTTGGAATTGGAAAAATAAGTATGGGGGCACCATTTTACAGCAGCTACGTCGTTTGGGTGCTTCTTTGGACTGGTCCCGTGAGGTAATCAGTTGAGTCCTGGAGTTCTTTTGGAGCAATGTATTAGTTGTCTTGTTAAACTGCTTGATCTCTCTCTCTCTCTCTCTTTCTCTCTCTCTCTCACATACACACACGTGTATATGTTACTTATTTCGTTGATTTTTCCTTTGTTTTCTTCTTAATTGTAGTGCTTTACAATGGATGAGAAAAGATCAAGGGCTGTGACAGAGGCTTTTGTGAGGCTTCATAAGCAAGGGCTTATCTACAGGTATGCTCGGCATAGGAGCTGTGTTGTTCTTGGTTTAACATGATGTTTTGGTGGATGCTTGCTATGGTTTTTGTTTGATATTATATGTATTTATATTTTTTAATTGAGTTAATCAGTTGGGATAAGGATTGGGTGATAGTACTAACAACCAAAGGACTTCTCCAATCAACCACATTTATAATCATCTTCTTGTTAATGTCCTTTTATTCATTTTGGTTAGGACACATTTTGGCTTTTGTTTTGCAGGGATAATCGTCTAGTTAATTGGGATTGTGTCTTGCGGACAGCAATATCTGAAATTGAGGTCAGCCTTCTCCTTTTAGTGGCATACTTTCTCAAATATTTTCAGTATTTAATTATTTATGAAATTTTTGGTCTATGTAGGTGGACTATATTGATGTAAAAGAAAGGACGCTACTAAAGGTTCCTGGGTATGAGAACCCTGTAGAATTTGGAGTTTTGACTTCATTTGCTTACCCTTTGGAAGAAGGTTTAGGTGAGATTGTTGTGGCCACTACTAGAGTGGAAACAATGCTTGGTGATACTGCTATTGCTGTACATCCTAATGATGAAAGGTATCAGCATCTTCATGGGAAGCATGCCGTTCATCCTTTTAATGGAAGAAGGATTCGTATAATATGTGATGCAATTCTCGTTGATCCAGAATTTGGGACTGGTGCTGTGAAGGTAAATCTAACATATAAGTTGTGAAATATTACGTTGAATTTCTTTTCTGGTTTATGTTTCAGGTTATAAAGATTTGTTGATCTTTCTCTTTTGCCTTCTGCAGATTACACCGGCCCATGATCCTAATGACTTTGATGTTGGAAGGCGTCATAATCTTGAATTTATCAACATCTTTACTGATGATGGAAAAATAAACCAGGATGGTGGAGAATTTGCAGGGATGCCACGTTTCAAAGCCCGAGAGGCAGTGACTGAAGCACTAAAGAAGAAGGTATCTGTTTACACTTTACAGGACTATAAGTGTAGCATATGCATAGATGTTGATTAAAAAAATTCACTCCGATTATCAACATAGTTTGTCTTATTTCTATCGATTATTAAATGCTTACCCAATAGATCAACATATTGCATTCTCATAATTCCAGACACTTCACGCAATTTAATATACCCTACTTGTAATAACATCACTTGTCAGTATCACCAGTTTTGTCAATATCACCAGTTTTGTATTGCATGTGCATCAACCTTCCTAGTTGTTGGAGGGGACTGTCTGTTTGAATCCATCTGTTCACAATTTTATGGGTATTTCAGTGACCTTATTCTCCTTGCATTTAGGGCCTCTTTAAAGATGCCAAGGCCAATGAGATGCGCCTTGGAATTTGCTCTAGAAGTCAAGATGTTGTGGAGCCCATGATAAAGCCCCAGTGGTATGTTAAATGCAGCGGTATGGGAAAAGAAGCCCTTCATGCTGCCATAGATGATGAGAATAGGGAGCTTGAGATCATCCCGAAACAGTATACTGCTGATTGGAAGAGGTGGTTTTTTTCTTTCTTTACCTTTTTGGAATTTCTTGTGTATGCATTGTAAGGATAATAAGATCATACTTCCAGAAAGTTTTGAACAAGTCAGTGGATGAAATCTAGTTGTTAGGCTTGGGTCTCGACAATTTATATAAAGAAATCTCCAAACAAAAAGGTTAAACGTTGTACTTACTTCTGGTCTCAATTGTTACAGATGGCTTGAGAGCATTCGTGATTGGTGCATTTCAAGGCAACTCTGGTGGGGTCACCGTGTTCCTGCATGGTATGTTGTTTATGAGGGTGATAGTCCAGACAATTTTGGAGCATCAGATGAGCGATGGGTGGTTGCGAGAAACGAAGAAGAGGCCAAAGCACAGGCTAGTCTAACATTTGAGGGGAAATTTCAGTTAATGCAGGATCCTGATGTGCTTGACACGTGGTTTTCTTCTGGTCTTTTCCCATTGTCTGTGTTGGGCTGGCCGGATGATACAGAAGATCTGAAGGCATTTTATCCTACTTCAGTTCTTGAAACCGGGCATGACATTCTCTTTTTCTGGGTTGCTCGTATGGTAATGCTTGGAATTACTTTGGGTGGCAACGTACCTTTTACAAAGGTGGGGAACTTTCTTAACATTTTGCATGTATAGCTTTATCTGTGTGTTGCATATTGCCTAAATTATAATTTTCCAGTTGCCTGACTATGAAATTCAATAGCATGCTGTACTTAAGGGCACATGATGTTTTCTACTTGGTAAAAGCTTGAAGGAAAATAATTTTTGTGAAATTATACTACATTGTTAATTCGAGTTCCATTTTACGTGTTTATATGTATACTAGCTCGATTGGATGCCTAGTGGGTTTTTGTCAGAGACACATCCCTTTGCTCACCATCTTTAATTTTTGCAAAAGTGGTCCTGAGCATGCAAAGATGGTGTTGATTTTAGATTATAGTTTGGTTACTGAAGTGACAGGTGGAATCTGGTTGCTTTGCAGGTATATTTGCACCCTATGATTCGTGATGCACATGGGCGTAAAATGTCCAAGTCCTTGGGGAATGTCATTGATCCTCTTGAGGTAATAAATGGTATTACCCTTGAAGGTCTCCATCAGAGGCTTTTAGAGGGAAATTTGGATCCCAAGGAATTGACTGTAGCCAAAGAAGGGCAAGTAAAGGACTTTCCTAAGGGTATTGAGGAATGCGGTGCAGATGCTCTCCGTTTTGCCCTTGTCTCTTACACTGCTCAGGTTTAAGATTCGTTCTTTATATTTTTGGTTGAAAACTGTTTTTCTTCCATGGATATAGTGACATATCTGATTGTCCTTCCTTGTCTTTTCAGTCTGATAAGATAAATCTGGACATCCAAAGGGTTGTGGGTTATCGTCAATGGTGTAATAAACTGTGGAATGCAGTACGATTTGCTATGAGCAGGCTTGGGGATGATTATGTTCCCCCCTCAGATGTAAATCCAGACGCGCTTCCATTTAGTTGCCAGTGGATACTTTCAGTACTAAACAAAGTCATCTCCAAAGCTGTTTTGTCACTGGAAGCGTATGACTTCTCGTATGCAGCCACTGCAGTGTATGCCTGGTGGCAGTACCAATTGTGCGATGTCTTTATTGAAGCTATCAAGCCTTACTTTTCGGGCAACAATCCAAAGTTCGAGTCTGAAAGGGGTTTTGCACAAGCCACACTATGGTTATGTCTTGACAATGGTCTGCGGTTGCTTCATCCATTTATGCCATTCGTCACAGAAGAACTGTGGCAGCGCCTTCCATCACCAAAGGATCACAAGAGGCCAGCCTCAATTATGATATGCGAATATCCTTCCACTGTAGAGGTTGGTTGGTTATTTTTTTCTTTTCAAACATAAATTGGATGATCCTGTCCAGCCTAAAGCTAGAGGCAAATGTTCATGCAAAAAAGTACACTTGCATCATTGTTCTTCATAGGCCGTAAAGGATTACTCATGGGAATGGTGGTTTTCATTATGACCCTTACGACCCTGTACTTTTCTGATGATGTTGTGGAGACAGTATGTATAGTAACTTCCTATCTTTTTCATTTTTACAGCGCTGGACAAATGAAAGGGCGGAGTCCGAGATGAATCTTATAGATTCTGTTGTGAAATCTCTTCGTTCACTTGCAAAAGAAAGTCGTGAAAGGTATATCTTGTTAGAGTGAGTCTGACCAATTTTGATTTGCCATGTTGTGAATATCTCTAATTAGGGTTTATTTCTTTCAGGCGGCCAGCTTCTGTGCTTTGTCGAACACCATTAGATAGGGAAATAATATGCAGCCGTCAACTGGAGATTGAAACGCTGGCCAATTTGTCATCTTTGACAGTAAGTCAAGTGATGTATTCCAAAAATCTGCTCTAGCAATTTTCTATCGAATTTTACTCTTTTCCTCAACAGAAGCAACAAAATTATAGAAGGAACTTCGTTTTGACTGACCATTACACTGTTTAGCTTCAGTTTTGTTTTACGCAAATTCAGTTAATATATGAAAATTTCTTATCCTTGCAGGTAATCAACGAGAACGATGCTGCTCCAACTGGGTGTGTGGTGGGTGTTGTAAATGAAAACCTTTCTGTTTATCTTAAGCTTCAAGGAAGTCGTTCATTAGAAGCCGACCTTGAAAAGATCCGGAAGAAGATGGAAGACATTAAATTGTAAGCTTGTGATTGAAATTACTTGGTGACAGAAAGCTCAGATTAAATTTTAAAACCCCTACACGTTTCGAGTGGTGACAACTGTTTTATTAACTAACAGGCAACAGGAGAAGCTATCCAGGGCGATGAATGTAGCCGGTTACAAAGAAAAGGTCCCGGAGAAGATTCAGAAGGCTAATGCGGACAAGCTCGAATCACTCGAGAAGGAAAAATTGTCTCTTGAAGAAGCAAGCCAGCATATGGAAGCACAGATATCGAGCAACGAGCAGTAACGACTTGCAATTTTTGTTCAATGACCTCATAGCAACATGCAGTTAGACACCTTTCATCGCTGAAGGATGAAAATTGGCTTCTCATATGTTGTCCAATTTGAAAGTTGATCAAGAACTATTTGTTCGTATTATATTACTCGCAAATTTGCTTTGTTATTGATAATTTAATGAGATTTTCCTACATTTTTGAGTAATTATTTTTTTGTACATTATATCTTACATAAGTGCTTCCGTACAAGACAAAATTTTGTGCGGAGCAAAAGCACTTTTGCAAGGCAAATATCACTGCAAAAACGAAATCAAAATTTGACGCTTCTCACGGAAGCTACTTTTTTACATTGTATAGACTAAGATGGTATAGACTAAGACTAAAATTAATCGGAAAAACTCCATAAGGCCACGTCAGCACAAATATCCACGTCATCATCCTCGCTGTAATGGGGTGGAGGCAATAGCATTCCTTCCGCCATGTCTGCCAGCAGTCCCGGCATCCCGAAAACCGCCTCCTCGTCCATATAGAGCACTTGTTGCTGCTCCGATGCGGACGTGGACTCCGTTGGAGCCGCCACAGAAGCTCCACAAACCTCATCCGACTCCTGAGTCGGCCGAAACGCCTCTGCCGCTTCTGTGGCAGCCGTCTGAATGTCCTTGGCGTTGGAAGAAGCCGGGACAGGCAGCCTCCTCGCGGAGTCAGCAAAATTAAGGCAGGTGGACCTGCCCCTCAGTGCAATGGCCGCCACGTCGTGCGCGCGGGCGGCCATTTCTGCGGTGGGAAAAGTGCCCAGCCAAATCCTTGTCTTTTTGTTGGGCTCGCGCACCTCGCACACCCACTTGCCGGAGTTCCTCCTCCTTACACCCCGAAACACCGGGTGCCGTGTCTCTCTAAACTTTTTCCGTCCAGCCCGCTTCTTCGGGCAAGTAGACGCCAGCAGTACCTCCTCGTCCGACAAGGTCATGAACATTGGGCGAGCACTGCTGGTCTCCGAAGCCGACGACGATTCCCCCGGTGGGTCCACGTAGTAATTAGAGCAACCATCCATTTCTGGGTACGAGAGTAGTGAAGTTTGCTTTTTACGCTCTTAACTAACTGAACTACAAGCGAATCGAGCTGTATAAGCAGATATGGAAACTGGGAAGTGTGGATAATCTGGTACTTTGCAGTTTTGGAGTTGGAAAGTGGATAGTGATTAAAAAGGACTGAGATATTGATTGTGATGATTCTGTACCCTTCGTGGGGATGATTTGGTGTATATATGTGACCAGAAAAAGGTAACCTGGCAAACAAAAAACGCGCACACGGATACAGGCTGGGTCTATCCTGGGTTGGGCGGCGCGGGCCAGGCAGACAGTCAGGGACTGTTAGTACGACAGCTGTCGTACTAATGTATGCCTCCCTTCCTTTTTCGGAAGTTGCGGGTTTGGCTTGTGGTATTGTTTGAGTGTGCCAAGTGTGTGGATTCTGAGTTTTGACTGGATGACTCACACAAACCTCGTTTAATAATATATTTGTTTACTGTGAATGCTGTCAGGGTCAAAGGTCGGTCGCGGTCCCTCATGACTCAATCTGTAGTTTGTTTGCAAGCCAATTGTGCTTTCACACCAGCTGCACTCTGGGGAGACATATTCCTCGCCGATTTGTTACTCACTTGCGGGTTGATTTTATTTTTGGAAAATTAATGGAAAAATGTTTGAAAACTTTGAATTTTAACGATAAAGATAAAATAAAAGATAAAGTGAATAGTACCAGGATTGATATTTTAATGTAAAAATGTGATTTTTCGTTAAAGTGAACAGTACCAAGAGCTTTTCGTTAAAATTCCTCATTATTTTCTTCAAGGCGTTTTTTTAATGTAATTTAAACGCGCGTATTGTTTTGGCTCATTGGTTTGATTCATTCCACAATGTTACTGTGTCCACTAGTTAAAGGATTCTTCGAGTTCAAATTACACTTTGATATTTGTGGACTCGTTTGGAATTGCTTTAAAATGATTTAAAGCAGTTTTTGCTAAAATGATTTTGGAACCACTCTTTAGTAAAAAATGCATGTGAATTTTAGAAAAGCACTTCAAGTGCTTCTTCCTACAAAAAGCACATAATTAGTGCTTCTCACATGAAGCAAATTATGTGCATGTATAACCTAACAACATTTTCTCTAAAAACGTATTCAGTTATTTTAGAAACATTTCTAAATAAGCCTTACAATTGTAATACTAAATTGCTACTCATTGTTACTGGTTGATAAATTACTAATCTTATTAAAAAGTAGCATTGTAAAATACGTATGACAGTATGTGAAAAAGTAATTAATATTAGTATTGCCTTTTTAATTTCACTAAGTAACCAAAAAAAAAATTATCTTTTTGGCGATAAGCCAACAAGTCTTCCTGTTTTGTGAGAATCGGAAAATAACGTTTATCGCACGCAACTTTACTCTTATTTTGCAAATAAATTGTTTCCACAACTCGAATTCTGACTCTTTCAATCATAAAGGAGCAATATTCCCACCGCACTAAGGATCACCCTTAAATTTTATCTTTTTGGGGTCCAAGAATATTTGAATGGAAAAAAATAGACAAACAAATAACAAGAATCTACCAAAACATCGGCGAGTATGACTGAGCATGGAAAAAGAGAAGCTAGCAGGAAGCTACCACAGAAAGCAGGAGACAAGAGGCGGTGATGACGTGGCGGAAAGTACAAGCACAATCCTTTTGAAATGACGTCACACTTTCCAAAAACACGGTTGACAGTTAATAACTTAACCAACTGAAAATGCTTTTAGGATTAGTTAAAGGTTTAATTAGTTGCTAAGATTACAGAGCAAATCCAGTGGGTTTTCCCGCGTTAACACGTGAACCACGTGGCTCATTAATCTGTCTCCCCCAAAGACAATAACATCTGGTCTCGGTCGCACCGAAAGATTTTGATAAACTTCGTCTTATCCTCCAAAAATATCATGGGACCTACTTTTAATCTTCAGATCAGCTCAGTTGGAAGTAGGAGAGGAAAGTGAGGATGTCAATTTCTTGGAGACTTTCTTCCTTCTAGTCTAGTTTTAGTTTTAGTTTTAGTTTCTTCTCCTCATGTGGTGTTATCTTTGAAAAATTATATTATACTCTTTCGTATGACATGCACGAATAATAAACTGTTCGATATGACGATCGAGAATCTAACGGCTAATAGTATAGCAGTCAAAGATTCTTTATGTACCAAGATAGGTCCGGTCTTCTTAATTAATCTCTTTTTCAAACCTTTTTTTTAGCTAATTAGTCAGCTTCTAGATATTATATATCAATGCATATTAAAAATTAACCGTCTAGGTTATGTGCAATTGAAGATAGCCAAAAGAAGAGTTATGCTACTCTTACCGTATTTTTCATATCCCATTTATAGAACTTTTCTAATAGAGATATAACCTACATGTGTTAAGTGAGCTCTACCTCTATTAGAATAACGAAACATTTGTTATAGAAGAATCGAACACTTAATAGTCAAAGATCCTTTGTGTACCAAGACAAGTCCAACCTACCTAATCAATCTCTTTTCATACTTTTTTTGAGCTAATCAGTCAGTTTCTAGTCATTATATATAGTGCATACTAAAAATGAACTGCCTAGGTTGAATGCAACAGCTAAGTATCTAATGGCTAATAGTATAACATTTGTGCGTACTTCCTAATCAATTTCTTTTTTGTCATTTTATCAAGTTAACCATTAGTTTTTAAGAAAAACTAATAATAAGGGCTTCAAAACTTTACATTTTAACCGAAAACCACGAATTTCCGAGCAAGATTGGCCCAAGCAACGAATTTCCGATTTTACCCTAACGGCAAACATTGCGCCGTTTGTTTTGCCCGTTTCATTCTAGATGAAGAGAGAGTAATTTTTGTACAACTTCTACAAGATTCTACGGATCTGATACTCATTTTCTCTCTGCTAGTTTCTCATCTCTGTTAATCAAGGAGATTTCGTATGTCTTGATTCTGTGATTCTCCGATTCATCAGGTAATTTTCTTTTCAAACTAAATCAAAATCCACCTCTTCCTTCGTCATGGGACGCAAAGCCCAAGCTTCGACCTCCTCCAATGGAAATCTGCGCGTATGCACAGCATAGTACGCATTTATGGTTGGGCTAAATCTTGGCTCTTTTATCTTTTAAGGTGGGGAATTGTTGCACATATGTACGTTGGTGAGAATTCTGATGGTGAATTAGGAAGCACAGATATGTTCCAAGGACTACAGCTCCGTTCAGAAATTCACCGTCTCCCCCTACAGCGATGTCTTCGTGGTATGCTTTCAAAGCTCTTATTTAATTAATATGTGTATAGCTAATTGAGGAATCAAGAAATATAGTTTCGGATCGTGAATTAGAGGTTCGGATCGATGTTGAGAAAAACAGCTTTGCTTAATTGTTTGTTTTCAGATCATACTTTCTATGATATTGGGGATGTCTCAGCACCAGAAAGGCAGTGTACAGACAATTTATCTCAGATGTTACCAGACCTTGAAAATGCTCTCGTGGAGAAGAAGATGCCCAAAGAGAATTGGCTCTAATTTAATAGATTATACAAGGTTGGTATCGGTTTAGATTGATATAATTTGTCATTGGGGTATCAAATCCCAGATGATTTGATATGAATGTTGATTACAATAGTCTGAATGTTTCTATAACTACCACATAACTGCTAAGCTTGTTATCTAGTTTGAGAATCGAGATTAGTGAAGGCATATTCTAATGGTATTTGAAAGGTAAGGCCTCCAAATACATGCATTTGCCTTTGCTATAAGTGCAATCTACTATCCCTTCCATGGAAAAATGCTTAAGTATTTGATATTAGAGATTCCATGTATATCATCGGCAAACTTTGTGAAAGGAGAAAGGCAAAGTTCTAATAAGCATGAGTTGCTTACTAGCGAAGGGCATGGGAAATGAAGATAGATTTAAAATTATTAAAAAAAAAACGTGATGTGTGGGGTTTGTGCGTCCATACCAAACACTGTTTATGAAATTGAACAAAACTACATTGTTTATGAAAATTAACGGTATTACACTATTTATGAAACTGATCGGTACTACACTATTTATGAAACTGAACGATACTATACTATTTATGAAACTGAACGGTACAACATTATTTATTGGTCCATATTCGTAAATAGTGTATAGTTTTTTATTCACTTTCATAAAATAGTGTCTAGTTATTGGGTATTGTTTCATAAACAGTGTATAGTAGTTGGCACAATTTTATAAATAGTGTCTCATTCTTGGTCCAATTTCATAAATAGTGCATAGTTCTTGGTCCACTTTCATATATAGTGCCTAGTTTTTAGTTATGTTTCATAATTAGTGTCTAGTTCTTGATCCATTTTCATAAATAGTGTACAGTAATTAGTACAGTTTTATAAATAATGTCTAATTCTTGGGACAGTTTCATAAATAGCTATTCTAGCAATCATCACGGCAGAATAATGTCATGATGGGTAGTCTAGTTGAACTTGCAAGATTGCATTTGGTATTTGGGATTTGCATTTGGAAGTGATTAATGAAACTACAACAAAATTACACACTATATATGAAACTACAGCAAAATTACTCACACTATATGAAACTACAACAAAAATTACCACACTATTTATGAAATTAGAGCAAAATTGCTCACACTATTTATGAAACTACAGTAAAATTACCACACTATTTATGAAACTACATCAAAATTACCACACCATTTATGAAACCACAGTAAAATTACTCACATTAATTATGAAACTACAGCAAATTATCACATTATTTATGAAACTACAGCAAAATTACTCACATTATTTCTAAAACTATGGCAAAATTACCTTCTGTAACAACCCGTCCCTCAATATCTATAGCAAAAGAAAGAAAAAAGATATGGGGATATGGTGAAAGTTATAATTCATACATGATTGTGTATACTATTTGCTATAATTATACAAGAGGTTTATGTCTTTGTGGATGGATATCTCATGGTAGCTTACTGCCATTGTAAAAATATCGAAACAACCATTTCTAATCGATGGCAATAGAAACTGCCAACACGTTCTTGTAGGAATTGAGGAACATGTGTGGTGCAGCTGCCAGGGTAGGGTATGAGATGGCCAACGCCAATGAAGTGACCATCGAGACACCAGAAGCAAACTTCTCCATGAGATCCTCAGTCAGATCAAGCACCTATGGGCTGAAGATGGAACCATTGTCGTACACCACCTGGACAACAAGACCATATGAGAATAGCCTGATTCCAAGCTTGGCAAGGAGGGCAACTTCAGAAGAGCCAACCTTATCTCCCTTCTTGATAAGTTCAACAAGGGTAATGATTTCAACAGTACCTTGTTAATGTTGGTGGGGATGTTGAGCACCTGAAATGTGAAACATACCAAGTCAGAACTACTAAACCCACAAAAAAGCAACACCATTTATTGTGAACGATTATTACACACCTGGAAGAAAGAGGTCTGAGATGGGTCAAGACCAGTGTGACCAGGAGGAACCACCACATCAATTGGAGCAACCAAACCAACACGAGCGGGGGCTCCAGCCTATTCAATTCAAAATAAAATACACCTAGGAATTAGATAGATATAGTGAAACACATAAACAAAATGGGACAGATTGGAAAACTAACAAAAATTATCATGAGGCAAACTAAACCCATATAAAATATGAAAACTCGATAAATAATCATCCGAGTCGAAAAAAGATGCCTCCTGCTAAGGTATACTAGAGAAGTCGCAACTCTAGAACAATTTTTTGAAAAGTTTTTTTTTTTTTTTTTTTTTTTTCTTTTCTTCCTGCTAAGGTATACTAGAGAAGCAGTAACTCTAGATTACTCACATTAAAAAACAGCAGAACCTCCTTAATTTTACTCTTACGGATAATTCAACAAATTGAGTTTCCCATTGATCATAAATACACTAAATTTCATACCAATTTGAAATCTACACAACAAACAATTACAGATTATAGTTTCCTATACCACAATAAGCATCTTATATCACTACAACAACTAAAACGCATTAAAATTGATAATATTATGAATTCGAACAACGAAAATGGAAATCGAATTCGGTTACCTTGTACTTGCCAACCTCCTCGCTGACTTCCTTCAAATCACCTTTTGTGAAAATCAGACCGATGTTGCCCTAAATCCCAAAAAACAACAACAAATCAGAAAACCAACGAATACAAACAAATCAGCAAACACAAATGAATCCAAAGAACGTACCACATAGGGGGATGAGTTGAGGTAGGCACTGTTGCCCATCTTCTCCGCATGGATCTTGACAGACCTTTTCATCATCGTGTTCTTCCTCTTCAAAATGACGGAGTCTCCGCGCAGCCCCTTGAGAATGTTCTGGAGCTGCTTGGAGCCGACATTGTCGGCGGCGACAATGAGGACCTGGCCATACTCGTCGAGGAGGGAGCAGAGCTTGGAATCGTACATAGGTGATCTTCTTGTCGGCCTTGGAGAGTTTTCTTATGTTAGGGGTACTTTTGGAAACTCAATTTTGTCTATGTTGAGCCCTGTAATCCAGCCCATGTAGAATTTGGAGGCTCTGTCTTTATGGTTAATTTTAAGATCCTTTGGTTAAAGAAAATTATAGGATGATCTTTAGTTAAAATATTTTGGATTCAAACCCCTTTCATTAAAGTGCTCTGTTTTTTAACTACTATATACCAGTGTATGTCATAAATTAGCCAACCATTAAGTGGTTGGAAAACGCCATGAGCCCAATTAGGGTTTAGGGTTTCCAATATCAATGGACTCGTTAAAACTAGTACTATATACACAGAGTTGGTCCCTTCGTACAGAAGAAAAGGCAACATCAAAGGACGTGAGTCAGCGTGACGTATTGATAAGTCAAGGGTCCATTTTTCTTCTTTGGGCCGTCAAGTGGGAATTTCTAGGTTTTTTTTTTTTTTTGGGTAAAGGTAGGAATTTCTAGGTGGATAAAGAGGAGTTAGTCAAGGGTTTGAACTTGGAAGTTTTTCTTGACTTAATTCAAGTTTGATTTTTGATTGTTTGTATCAGTTAAGTTAGGTTGTGGAGACAGGCCGGGTTGCCCTGTAGCACATCTAGGAGAAGTGGTGCTTCTTACGTAGTCTCCTTTATATGCTAGATCATACAAATTTAAATCAATCAAGATAATATTTAGTTTATGACGTATAAGAAGTCATTTCCTTTCATATAACAATTTGTCATTTTTTGATTGTTCACATGTCATAGATTGAATTGTTCATTTTATTTACCATCATCTAAATATTATACAACTAACTACCCAATCTAACTTTGTGTTACAATTTGGCATCCAAACTTCATGAAGCCTTTTTGACATTCTCGTCATTTATCACGACTAGGGTACGTACTTGAAACCACTTATCCTATCAACATATTCTTATTGGTTTATTCTCCCTAAAAAAACCAGCATTCGTCCTCCATTTTATCTAAGGATAGTGTCACTACACACTCATTTTACCTACATGCCTTATTAATTTTTTGCCATTGATTTTCTTCAATTCATTTTCGATCCGATGATCAAAAATTAAAAAGAGTGTGTGAGAAATAAAAATGTCATCAAATTTGGACCTCATGTTCAATGAAATGACGATAATGGTCGGCTAATGCTTATATGCAGTGTTGAAGTTAATCCACAAGTTCTAAAAAACGGTTCAATAGTATGTAAGCCCCCATTTTCCATATACTACTGTCTTGAGGAACCAACCATCCCCAAGTGGTGTGGTGTGATGTGATCGCCCATCCATTCAAAGATCATGAGTACGTCGCCCATTGAAATGCGGATACCGTCGACCATTGAAATAATGCGGATATCGTCGACCATTGAAATGCGGATATCAACTAGACAGAGCTAGTGCTCTTTTCCTCCGAGCCAGTCAGCCGACATGGAGAGAGATTGAGTGCTCCTTTGATTCTTGACTAATTAAAATTTGAAATGCAAGGGCCGAGTGTCTTTGTCTCCAAAAAAAAACAAACCTAGCTATATTCTGATTCGTTTAACCATATTTTCTAGTGCAAAAAAAGGTAGGATTCCTCTGTTTTTTTTTTTTTTTTTCTTCATATAATTTTTGTAGCCGCGTTAGCAACAGTCGTCTTATCCCCCAAGCTTTGTTGTACTCTTTTCTGTTTTCATGTAATTTTTGTAGCCACTTTAGCAACAGTCGGCTCCCAACTTTAGAGAGCTAAATCTGTTATTGCATAAATTTCCTTTTCAAATATATATGGCACATATACACCATTAATATGTCATATCGATCATATAATGTATGCGCTAAGAAATTTACATATAAAATTGACTCATTCGCACGTAATGTCACTATAATAGGATTGTACATGTAAGTCATTGACGCATCGGTTATATGACAAGGAAAATATAACGGAATTCCCACGCTAGAATTCACTGCCATGCCCTACAATCTACTACAAAAATAGAGAGAAAACTCACGTTTATTGAATAAAATTGAAAATAAGACAATAATCTTTCAGAGGTCAAACCAAAACTACAATAATCCGTACAACCCAAAAAGTTCAAAATATCCACATTTGAGTGGCACCAACAGATAATTTGTTGATTTTTTTTTTTTATCAAGAGCAAATATTAATTCATTTATAATCAAATCAAAATGTTTACATCAGAAACTAAAATATTAAATAACCATTTGTCCCAAACATAATAGTCAGGCAAATCACTTTTGTTTCATATTTATTTACTTCTATTAATTCTATTACATATAAAATAACAAAATTTCTGTTCTGCATCTGTCATTATCCCATTTTTTTTTTTTTCATGTAATTTTTGCAGCCACTTTAGCAACAGTAGTCGTCCTCCAGATCAATTGAATCTATCCACTATGCTATTTCATTATACGATCCGACAGCATTCACCGCTTTTTTAAAGCGGATCTTATTTGGGTGTCGTTAAGTTTTAACCTAAAGTGTCTTTTGGACCACCACTTTTTCATACCCTATTTTAAGTTTTTAACACCTTAGTTTGATCGACATTTTATTTCGAGAAATAGAAAAGACAACCTTCTGCCTGCTTGAAAAAGTTCCTGTCATCATCTTTTACCTTTTTGAGTGAACGCACGCTAATTAAAATGCTGGATTAGGGTGCAAATTGGCCCTTAATTAATATTTAATTGTGCATTTTGGTCATGTACAAGCATATATATAGCGCATCACATGTGTGATCACTAGTCACCGAAACTTGTGTCCCTAAAAAAGTAAGAGTTGTCCGGACAACATAATTGGTCTGGCTAACTCTCATCTTCGTTTAATTAAGATATACACAAAGGGTACCCATATACAAATTATATTAGATAAATATTCATTTTCTATATATATATATATATATTAGACAAGTTGGGCAAGAGGTTAAAACCTAGCCTTCAACCCTAGATGTTTATTGGTTTGGTTTAATTATATATCAAGCAGAAAGGTTGCAGATCCAGGCTCAGTGACAGAACAAATCAGACATGGCAGAAGAGTTTCATTATTTAAGGGAAAGGAAATCGTCATCAATATTCTGCGTGGATGCATCTAGAGGTAACGCAATAAGTTTTCTGTAACTAGGATTCTGTTATCTACACACACGCACACACGCACACACGCACACACACACACATGTATATCGATGGTCTATGAGTAATACATGAAACTGATAGTATCTTTTGTCTGACAATTAAAAGAGACCATCGGAGAGAGCTGGACCCTGCTCCGGGAGCAATATTATTGCCATATATTTCTTGGGTTATCACATGCATTCTTATCATTTGGTTAATGACGTATCTTTCTTCTATAGCAGAGGCTAGTGTTACTTTGTTATCTTTCAAGCTAATAAGTGAACGATATTATACTACAATAGTATATACCCATTTTATAAGGTTTTTTTTTTTCTCTGTTAAGAACTCGTTATTTACTACTGACACTCTCACTCGTATATATGAACTTTATGAGATTAATGTCATTCCTTAATTTGAAGATCTTGGCTTGTAATAAATGGCGGGTTCGATACCAAAATTTATTATCCCACATCCTTAGTATAAATATATCGATATAAAATATACTGAAAATATGACTTTTACCCTTTGCAATTTTATTTATTTTTTAACTAAAACCCACCATAGTATATTATCGTGACAACAACTTCCTTAATTAACTCTGACAATTTTGTATCTTTGGATGCCCAAAATACCCTTAATAACTTATGTCGGATTAAAAACAAAATTTAATGTCATTATTTCATTGCATAATAATAACATAATGATTGAAGATAAATGATGTCATTTGCTTCAAGATAAAGAATGTCATTTGGTTCAAGATAAAGGATGTCAATTGTGATACCTTATTTGGTTAAAAAAATATAATTAAATTATTTTGACGAAGATAATTATATTTATATAATAAAAAAAGAATATATATATATATATAACTGTTATTGGCACTTCAAAAATCTTAGTTAACACTCTTCACAAGTGTATTTTCTTCTTTCTAAATATAGAAGGTTTAGAGTGAAAAATAAGAATTTTAGACTGGCAATAACAATTCCCTATATATATATGTATATTGTTTCAATTATACATATTTCAATTTTAGCTTATAAAATTTTGAACAAGTGTTAACTAAAACAATTTTAAAGTATAATGCACCTACGTGATGAAATGCTTGCCAAAAAAAACATGGATGAAATTAGATGAAATTTAGTATTTCATCATTATTGTTAGGAATTCATCATCATTATAGGTACTAATAAAGTTTGTTGACATAATTAGTGTGTTGTGTCATAGGTTGTAAATAGCTTGTAGGATTTGGATCCTCTCCGGATCCTTTCACTTGGGATCCCGGAGATTAATGCACAAGGACTGTTTATCAAAGATTGTGCGGCCACAATTAAATGTTTTTTATATTTTTAAAAGTAAAGAAGTCTCGTTTTGTGTAAAAAGTATTTAATTGTGGCAGTACAATCTTTGATGAATAGACCTTGTGCATTGATCCCCAGGATCCCCAGTGAGGGGATCCGAAGAGGATCCAAATCCTAGTTTGTAATAATAGGTTATTTCTTTGTCTACATGTCAATGACTTTAAATTTTTGAGTTTTAATTGGATGTTTAAATATAGGTGGTTTTTGCCAATTAGTACTACGGTCTAGTGGCATTCATTTTCACTTATAAATGAGAGGTCTTAAGTTTGATTCTCGTCAAAATCAAACTTGAACCGCATTATTGGTAGCTCATTGTGAGGCTTAACCCACTCCACCACCCCCCTCAATGTCGATAATATCATTTGATAAGTGGGGTTCACCAAAGAAGTTAGTAAATGGAATTCAAATAGCATTACTCTTACATTTCAATTTGTAATTTCCCTTGTGTTTACTAACACATATGAGATTAACAAAAGGAGTTTAAATCTTCTACATCCAAAACTCTACGTGGCCTTTTTGTTACCTATCTCATTTGTTGACACTTAAACATTCATTTAAATTCCACTTAATAGTGTTAACTCTTCAACTTCTCACCTCAATTAAAAAAAAATTATAAACTATGGTAATGCTAGGGAGACTAAATTTAGAGACTAAATTTGCAAACTAAATGATGTGTGATCAATAAGAATAAACACGTTTATCAACCTGTAAGTAATAAACCAATCATCAACTTCCATGTCCTTTAGTTTTCAAAACTTTGTCTACAAATTTAGTCTTCTTAGCATTACTCTAAAAACTAAGATAAATTCACAGCAGCAACTTAACATCCCCGTCAACCCCAACCCTGACGACAATCACCCGCTCAATCTCAACAAACGTTCACTATTCTTCACTGATGTCCTTCATCTCCTCATTGTCGCCGAACAAGCCTTTTCCCTTTTTTTTCAAAAAATCGCTGCACCATATTTAAATCTAGATCTATATCGATTCCGTCATCACCAAACCAAACAAAATCATTGATCTTGCCCTTAGATTTTGAACCATACGACATATAGATTACAGAGCGATATGGAGAGAGTGTAGGGTATTGATTTTGCGGGTGGCTTTGAGATTATTGGGCATTGGTATCATTGATGTATACTTGAAGTTTCGATGTGAAACCTGTCGGACATGCTCGCGGACGGTGTTAGTTGAAGTTGGGTAAAAAAAATATGTCACTCAAGTAGATTGAGTATAGAGGCATTAGAGGGTTTTGGGTGCAGACTCCAAAAAAGTGTGGGTTTTACGTTAAAATTTGTAATCTAATACCTGAAAGTTCATAAATAAGAAAGGGGTTAGTTGATTCAATACCCATTATGTCTTTCTCCTTCATAATCCTTGATTTCTCGCTTTCCAAGTAAAAATGTCATAAAAACTTAAACATGGATATTGAAATTATTCAAATTCCTGATTTATCTTATATTTACTAAAATCCATATTCGTTCCCTTTTTGTCTTTTCTGTTGATAACTTCTCTCATTCCAAATAAATAGAAAAGTTTAAATTAACCTCCTTTTAATTTGTTCCTGTTTTTTTATAAATGAGTTTCTTTTATACGTTCTCTCTTTCTTGTGAAATAAGCAAGCATAAAAGTATGAAACTTTTTTAATTAGTTTCAATTTTTTTCGTACATTCTCCTTCATTTCTTTATCTTGGCTGTTCTCTTACCGTCCCATATATGTTTCTCTTGAAAATGAAAACTAAAAATTAAATTCAGAAACAGACCTTCATTTTTGTTAGCTCTGGAGTAGTCAGGTCTAGCCAAGCATGAAACAGATGTCGGTCACTTTATATTGTTAGGCATGGAAATCTATTGATTAGTCCCCTCTAGCATTCTATAGAAACCGCTTTTATAGCCGTCTCTAATAAAATGGCGATTTTAATGGCGATTTTCTAGTAGTGGCAACACAACCGATCGATACGGCTAGAGTTGCTGGTTTTGTTCTGGTGGTAGTGTACAACCTTAATCTATGCATTCTAACCTGGAACTAGAAGATCACTGAAACCAAAACACTCTAACCTCTAAAATTTCATTCACCATTGTGTTCTATAAGTAATTATTTGAACAACCAATTAGCAGACGAGTGGCAATCTCTTCAAACACAAATCAGTGGATGAGAAAAAATACATTTGTTGCAGCTTTTCTATGTATGCTACTGATTCAATTGCTTATTTGTTGTTTTTCCAATTCCCAGTTAACACCGATTTTCGGTTGAGTGGTTGTAAATTTGTAATACTCATTGACATGAAAATACAGATACTATTCCTGTTTTTGTGTTTGTTTTGCGCTTGTGTATACATACATTTCAGACAGATATGATGTTTTGATTCCAAGAATGATAGAAATAGATCTGTAAGAATCTTTTCCATTTTTGGAAGGACAGGGTGAGAGGAGGACAGGGCCACGCTGATTGTCAGTTCACAGGGGGGGCCATATATAGAAATAGCCACAAGTTGCAGCAGCATATAATATCTCTTCTTATACCTCCGCCACTCTAAATAGTGAGTTTTATATTAAAGTCTGCTTAACAAGTACACCTACCCAGCTGCGTACGTAAGACTAGTACCATATCATTATTGTCTATACGCAAGGGATTAATAACTTCTTCTCCTATTGCTGCTTCTGATCTGAAAACCAAACCCAATTCTCAATCGCAAATCTGGGTATATAAACAGATACTAAGTCGTCTCTATAATTTTTATGAGTTTACTAATATGGTACATGCATGTTTACTTGCTAAGAATAGAAATTGAAATCATTGAACGTTTGTGTATAATAATTATTTCACTCTTTAACTTCTCCACGTGTTTACTAGCACATGGAATTAAAAAGTGCGAGTATCTCCTTAAAATCGTAATCAAATATCTAAAAATCATGAATCATATCAACTAGCCTACTAGGGGCTGGCTAATTGATTCAATTTCCTTTCCTTACTTCATCTATTTCTAAGCTCTCTAATTCCTTAATTTCTTCTCCAATTTCTATTAAGTAAGCATGCCCTCACTTCTAAACTTTCTCATGTGTTATAAACACATGGAATCAGAAAACTATTAGTTTCCTATTGAAATCCTTGATCATACCTAAAAATGACAATCAGATGAACTAGGGTGCTAGTTGATTCTACTCTCCTTTTCCTTACTTCTCTTATTTTTAAGTTCTCTCTTAAAACCAATTGACTATATATAGAGAGTAACCCAACTTACATATAAGCTAGCTCATGTAAGATCTCTTCTCCCATCAATATATGAGACTCATTCTCAACGTCCTTTTCTTTGTATCTCCTAAACCCTATCATTAACAAGTCCAATCACCAAAAATTGTAACTTAGAAGAGATTGTTTCGGTAATTTTGATAATGCAAAGTGTATTTATATGATCATGATATGCCCTAAATCTTGGGCACAACCTTTGCTTCTAGTCTTGCAACTTTGAATTATAACCAAGACCTAAATTCTTAGGTCCTAATCGCAAATCCAAAAAGGAAATAAGCAAATTCAGTAGCAGTTTCATACCATCGATCAACATATGTACACACTACTCAAAGAAAACAGCAAACTAGTAATCTACATCTAGTTAGTTATAATCATACGATAGCAGTAGACAAATCCATCACCTAATAACCTTTAATTTCCCAGAGCTGGTATTATACACACTTTAACAAAAATACAAATCAGCTTCAAAAACGAAAGAAAGCAGTACGTGTGCTGAAGCAGCTAACCTAAAATTATTCCAACAAAAACACACAAAAATAACTAATTAATTAATATATTGCGATTCGTGAGTCATACCCTTAATCAGTACTGATGATATCCGTTACAATGAAAGCATTGATTTCGCTTCTTCTTTCCCGAATGAAGATCCAAATCGTGACCCTAGCTACGACACTGGAAATCTGATTAATTAATTAATTAATAGCTCCAAAGATTTTCTCCGTCGGAATTCCCAGGGGAATTGTCGGAAGAAATCCTCGGCGGACTCACCAGCATTCCCTCCGCCATGTCCACCAGCAGATTCGGCATATTCAAAAGCTCCTCCTCATCCATATACTCCTCCTGCTGCTGGCTCACCACCCCACCACCACCACCCTCATTATCAACCCCACTCGGCTCCGATCTCCCTCCGCTCTCCCTCTCCTGAGGAGCCAACATATCTGCCCTCGACTGTGCTGCCCTAGCCGCCGCAGACCGTATATCACTCGCGGCGGAGGAAGCCGGTATTGGGTACGTAAGAATCGAGTTGGGGAAGTTCAAGGGAGTATCAGGCCCTTTCAGCGCGATCGCCGCCACGTCGTATGCAGCCGCAGCCATCTCCGGCTTAGGGTAAGTGCCAAGCCATATCCTTGTAGTCTTACGTGGCTCCCGAATCTCGGACACCCATTTCCCGCTCCGACATCGGATTCCCCGGTAGACCGGATGCCTCCTCGACGATCCTAATGTCGAGCCTCGCGGGGATGAGGAGGAGGAGGAATCGTCAGGTAGGGTTGATGTGGGAGGGTTAGGAAGAGTAGGAGGAATTTGTATAAAGGGGTTGGGATTGGAGGTTGTAGTTGGTTGGTCAATTGGGGTTTTGGGCACGTTGCTATACGGATCGGCCATAAATATATCTACATACAATTTTTGTGTGCATGTATGTAACTTATATATATGTGAATTCGCGACTAAATGCTATGATATATGCAAAAACGGCGTTTTGTTTTGTTTTGTTTTTGTAAGAAGCGTGGGAAAGTCGCGGAGCCTTTGCTAGCTTTCTTTATTTTATTTTTATATATATATTTTTTTTCCTCCTTTCTATGTACACTGTGTGTGAGTGTGACTAAATAAGATTAATAATAATTAAGAATTAATACTTTGTGAGTGAGACGGTGTTGATGTGAAATGAGACCACAAAGAGCACACGCATTAAAGCAGCTAGAGATTAGCTGTTGTCAACTTGGTCTGGTCATCAAGATCTTCCCTTTGAATTTTATTTAGTACAATACTCGGACTAAGTCCTTCAGATCGTTCGTTACATCAACACGTGACACATTTTTATCGTACCAATATTAATTCAACTTGTTCATTGTTTTCATCTAAAAATATTTTTTAGTTTAATTTAGAGACTGTTTTATTCATGAGACAGATTCGTAAATATCAATTTTTTTATACAAATTTTGACATAAGTTTTTGAAAGGCTGATTTCGTAATGTATTTTAATGATCTGAATTATCTATATTTTAGAACATCATTTAAAGATCATTGTTGCAAAAAATTAGACAAATCCAAAACCTTTAAAACATTCTATTGTAGTGAAAAAAAAATAAACGAATATAGTTCTACAAATAAATCTTAATGGTTTTAGGTTTGGGTGATTTTTAGTTAACATGATCTTTAAGGAAATATCTAAAAATATATAGTTTGAATCGTTGAAATATATTAAAAAGTGCACCCCATAAAAAATTATGTAAAAAAATGGTGTCACAAATACGTCCTCCTTATTCATATACAACAAAAGATCAATTGTTTTTTCTCATGATTAAAAGTTAAGTTTATTTTATTCGTATAAATAATTAAACTGTCTTTAAATTGAATAAAATTTGTAGAAATAATGATAAAGAGAATAAACAATCTCAATTGTAATATTTGTAGATTAACATAATGTCACATCTTCATATAAAAAGTAATTCTTACGGATCAGAAGCTAACAAGTGTGCTTTTAATTATCTTTCTTCTTCCCTATTATTTGGTTCATGTTTTGGTTAGTGTTTGTGCTGCGGGCTTAGGGGGTGAGATTCATAATTTAATTGCATCATGCGGACCACTTTTTGCAGCATCTGCATCAGCCTCTTTGCTTTGGTTGACTGTACGGATGTCATCTGCACCATTAACAATTTTTCTTTTTCTTTTTAATATAAAAAATAAAGTAAAGTATCAAGATGAATTTTCTTTCGGAAAATCCTAGGGATTCTAGATATCTAGTGATTTCATCCGTTTATCACAGATTGTGCGATTATAAATCATTTTAAAATTTAAAATTTAAAATTAAATATGAATAGTACATAACGAAAATTGACCGTACAATATACGATGAACAGATGAGATCACGTGATTCCTAGTAAAAGGATTGGGTGAGAATCCTTTTCCTTTTTTTTTTTTTTTAAATAACAAAGGTGAATATACTTTAATCGATTTTCTTTTGCTGCTGGAGATTCTGATTAATCCTTATTAGGGATTCTTTAATTTGCAAGAAACGGCAGTCACATTACTGTAAAGTCAATTTACATTTGTAATAAGTTTGACATTTTATTATAACCAGTCTATATTGTCATTAAGAATAAAAATTAAACTAGTATTTTTCCATACCAAAAACTAGGGAAAAAAAAAAAATTAAAGTGCTCGAGCTTGTAGCGTATACTTGTAAGTTAATTAAGCAACATTTGAATTGACTATTTAAAGGATAAGTCGATTGAGCTGAAGTTTATTAATACTTATTGTGAAGGTCATATCAAACGTATATTAAATCTTTTAATTAGTAAAATAGATTTAATCTTAAATAAATCGTAAATTAAGACGAAATAAAAAAAACCGTGACATGTCTAAATGCCTATGATTCTCCTTCACTACTAATCTAGTAACCAAGTTATAATCCACAGTGCTAAACTAGCTCATGTTAATATATTAGCTCCAACATTCTCTCTGTCTCATCACCTTTTTAAAAGAAAAACCTATTAATTTGTCAAAATCAATTTCCTAAGATCTCTCTCTAAATCCACAGCACCAAATCCCATTTTTTATGGCCACAAAAGACCCACATTTACACTATCAACAAATAACAAAAGAAAAAACCTTCATACCTTTTCCCTCTTTCTCTGCCCGACCGTTAAAAGTAAGTTTCATTGTCTTGAGGTTAGTTTCTCCATCTAAGGCAGTTCTCTTCTCTCTTCTCATCCATGGAGACCATTCAATCATGAAGCTTCCCAATTTTTCGCACCAACCCAGTTTTCCTCATCCCAAGCCTCACGTACCCTCCAAGATTTCCATCAAACCGCCTCTGCCAGACTTCGATTTCAGGTCAGAAATATCAATGGACTCAAGAGCCAAATAGCCAAAACTCACCCTAAACCGCTTGATTTGGCTAAAAATAGGAGGTTCTTGATCGAAAAGAGCTAGTTGCCATTGATGATGCTAATAAAATAAATGCTTCTACTTATATTGGTGAGTCTTCCAATATTTGGCATGCTAGATTAGGCCATGATAATTTTCATTCCATGCAAAGAATGGTTAAATTAGAATTATTACCTAAATTCGAGATTGATTTTAATCATAAGTGTGAGACATGTATTGAATCCAAATTTGCTAGGCAAACTAGAAAGTCAATTATGGAAAGATCAAATGAATTACTTGGATTAATTCATAGTGATCTTTGCGATTTTAAATCCACACCAACTTGTGGAGGAAAAAAAATATTATGTCACTTTTATTGATGCAGTAAGTATTGCTATGTTTATTTGATTCATACAAAGGACGAAACTTTGAATATGTTTAAGACATATAAAGCTGAAGTTGAAAATCAACTCAAGAGAAAAATCCAAGCATTTAGATCCGATAAAGGAGGAGTATGAGTTTACTGCCTTCTTAGATTTTTGTGCACAATATGGAATTATACATCAAACAACGGCTCCATACACACCACAAACAAAATGGTGTTGCCGAAAGAAAAAATGGAACATTCAAGGATATGATTAATTCCATGTTAAATAGTTATGGGCTTCCACACAGTTTGTGGGGTGAAGCTTTACTAACGACAAATACCATATTGAATAAGGTGCCTCAAAAGAAGATTGACGAGTCACCTTGTGAAATATGGAAAGGACATAAACCTACTTATAAAACCCTCAAAGTATGGGGTTGCTTTGCAAAGGTGCAAGTTCTGTTACCAAAAAGAACGAAACTAGGACCTAAAACTATTGATTGTGTATTCATTGGATATGCAAACAATAGTGCTGCTTATAGGTTCATTCTTGTAAAATCTTCGATTTTTGACATACATGTTAACACTATATTAGAATCGCCAGATGCAGAATTCTTTGAGGATATATTTCCTTACAAAGAAAAGGAATCTGGTTCTAATACAAATGGGATTCATGATCATAGTATGATGAAGGCTCTTCTTCTGGTGTCCAAGAAAATGATGTGGAACCAAGAGGAGGAAAAATAGCCAACGTTTCTAAAAACTTTGGACAAGATTTCATTGTCTACTTGTCCAAGATTGAACCTATAACTTTTAAAGAAGCAATGTCTTCTTAAGAGGCTCCTTTATGGAAGGAAGCAATTAAAAGTGAAATAGAATCCATTATGGAAAATAACACATGGGAATTGGTTGATTTACCTCCCGCTAGTAAACCAATTAGTCAAAAATGGATTTTCAAGAAGAAACTTAAGGTTGATGGAACCATTGACAAGTTCAAGGCACGTTTAGTAGCCAAAGGTTATCGCCAAAAGGAAGGGTTGGATTATTTCGACACCTATTCTCCAGTTTCTCGCATAACGTCAATTAGGACGTTAATAGCGATTGCAGCTGTGTACAACTTTGATATACATCAAATGGATGTAAAAACAACATTTTTAAATGGAGAACTTGATGAAGAAATATACATAGAACAACATGAAGGGTTCGTGCTTAAATTAAGGACAAGAAAGCAAAGTGTGCAAATTAGTTAAGTCATTGTATGGACTTAAACAAGCACCAAAACAATGGCATAAGAAATTTGATCATACTTTGTTGACACATGGGTTCAAAATAAATGAATCTCATAAATGTGTCTACATTAAGAGTACTAATAAAACTTGCAGAAAAAATATTACGAAAGTTTGGTCAATTTGACTGCAAACTTGTTGCAACTGCTTTTGATGTTGGATGCAAGTTGGAGAAAAATAAAGGCAATGCCATATCTCAACTTGAATATTCTGAAGTAATTGGAAGTCTAATGTACTTGATGAATTCAACTAGGCCTGACTTAGATTATGTAGTAAGTAGGCTTAGTAGATACAAGTAATCCGGCACAAGAGTATTGGGATGCTATAGCAAGAGTGTTAAGGTATTTGAAAAATACACTTGACTACAGATTACACTACACAATGTATCCACCTGTTGTAGAAGGTTTCAGTGATGCTAATTGGATTTCTGACATTACATAATCCATGTCGACAAGTGGATATGTTTTTACTTTGGGAGGTGTAGCAATATCTTGGAAATCCTCTAAACAAAAATGTATAGCTCATTCCACCATGAAGTCAGAGTTTATAGCTTTAGACTTGGCTGGAGAAGAAGCCAAGTGGCTCAAACATTTTATGGAGGATATTACAATGTAGCCAAAGCTTATAACTGCTATATGTATACATTGTGACAGTATGGCCACGCAATCAAGGGCCAAAAGTCATGTATATAATGGAAAGTCACGACATATCAGGCGTCGGCATAATACTCTTAAGAAATTGCTCTCCAGTAGAATAATATTCATTGATTATGTAAAGTCAAAGGAAAATATAGCTGATCATTTGACAAAAAGGCCTACCAAGAGAGCAAATATTATTACATCAAGGGGAATGGGTCTCAAGACAATTCAATGAATCAGATTGGGTAGAAACCTAACCTAGCTGATTGGAGATCCCATGGTCT